GCCTGTCTTGTTCCTGTTCTTAAGGGAAATGTTTTTAGTTTTTGCCCATTGAGTATGATATTGGCTGTAGGTCTTTCATATATAACCTTTATTATGTTGAGATATGATCCCTCTATTTCCACACTGCTGAGCGTTTTCATCAGAAATGAGTGCTGGATTTTGTTGAATGTTTTTTCAGCATCTATTGATATGATCATGTGGTTTTTATCTTTCATTTTGTTTATGTGGTGTATCACATTTATTGATTTGCGAATATTGTACCAGCCTTGCAACCCTGGGATGAATCCCACCATGAATCATGGTGAATAATTTTGATGTATTGCTGGCTCCAATTTGCTAGTATTTTGTTAAGGATTTTGGCATCTATGTTCATCAGAGGTATTGGCCTGTAGTTGTCTTTCTTTGTAGTGTCTTTTTCTGGTTTTGGAATTAGAATTATGCTGGCCTCATAAAACGACTTTGGAAGTATTCCTTCTTGAATTTTTTGAAATAGTTTGAGGAGAATGGGTGTTAGTTCTTCTTTGAATGTTCGGTAAAACTACCCCGTGAAGCCATCTGGGCCTGAGCTTTCATTTGCTGGGAGAATTGATTACATCTTCAATTTTCTTAGTTGTTATTGGTCTGTTCAAGTTTTCTATCTCTTCCCGGTCCAGTTTTGGGAGACTATGTGTTTCTAAAAATTTGTCCATTTCGCTTAGATTGTCAAATTTGTTGCCACATAATTGTTCATAGCATTTGTTAACAATCCTTTGTATTTCTGTGGTGTCAGTTGTTCCTTCTCTTTCATTTCTGATTTTGTGTATTTGGGTTCTCTCTTTATTTCTTGGTGAGTCTAGCTAAGGGTCCATCAATCTTGTTTATCTTTTTAAAAAAACAGCTCTTTGCCCTGGCCGGTTTGGCTCAGCGGTTAGAGCGTCGGCCTGCAGTCCTGAGAGACCCAGGTTCGGTTCCCACTAAGGGCGCATACCTCGGTTGCAGTTTGTCCCCGGCCCTGGTCGGTTGTGTGGGTGGCAGCCACTCGATGTGTTCCTTTCACATCGATGTTTCTCTCTCTCTCTCTGTTCCTCTCTCTCCCTCCCACTCTACCTGAACAAAAAGTGGAAAAATATCCTCAGGTGAGGATGAAAAAAAAAAACAGCTCTTTGTTTCATTGATCGTTTGAATTGGTTTTTGGTTGGTTTTTTTTTGTCTCTATGTCATTTATTTCTTCTCTGATCTTTACTATTTCCTTCCTTCTACCTGCTCTGGGGTTTTCTTTTTGTTTGCTTTCTAGTTCTTTTAAGTTGTGAGGTTAGTCTATTGGAAATTGTTCTTGCTTCTTGAGGTAGACCTGTAGTGCTATGAACTTCTCTCTCAGAACAGCTTTCACTGCATCCCACATATTTTGTGTTATGTGTTCATTTTCATTGGTTTCCAGGAAGTTTTTAATTTCTTCCTTGATCTCCTCGGTAACCCATTCACTGTTTAATAACATTCTATTTAGCTTCCATGTGTTCAAATGTCTTTGCATATTCTTGTTGCAATTTATTTCTAGTTTCATGCCATTGTGATCTGAGAAGATGCTTGATATTATTTCAATCTTCTTGAACTTGTAGAGACTTAGTTTGTGCCCTAACATGTGGTCTATCTTTGAGAATGTCCCATGTGCACTTGAGAAGAATGTGAATTCTGTAGTTTTGGGGTGTAATTCTCTGTAGATATCTATTAAATCCATTTGGTCTAGTGCTTCATTTAGAGTCTCTGTTTCCTTGATAATTTTTTGTCTAGAGGATCTAACCAGTGATGTCAGAGGATGTTGAAGTCTCCTGCTATGATTGTATTGCTGTCAATTCCTCCTCTGAAGTCCTCCAGAAGATTTTAAATATATTTTAATGCTCCTCTATTGGGTGCATATGTTTACCAAGGTTTTAGCTTTCTGTTAGATAGATCCTTTCAATATTATGTAGTGACCTTCTTTGTCTCTAGTTATGGCCTTCATCTTGAAATATACTTTATCAGATATCAGTATTACTACCCCAGCTTTTTTTTCCTTTATGTTTGCTTGGAAGTTTTTTTTCCATCCCTTCACTTTCAACCTATGTGAGTCTTTCATTGTGAGGTGGGTCTCTTGTAAACAACATATATATGAGTCATGCTTTCTTATCCAATCAGCTACTCTGTGTCTTTTTATCTGAGCATTCAATCCATTTACATTTAAGGTGATTATTGATATGTAGTTATTTATTACCATTTTTGTTTAGTGTGGTTATATTTTTCTTATTATTTCTTCTACTAATTATAGCAGTCCTTTTAACATTTCTTGCAATGCTGGTTTGGTGTTAATGTATTCCCTTAGCCTTATTTTTGGTCTGGGAAGCTCTTTATTTGACCTTCTATTTTGAATGATAGCCTTGCTGGATAGAGTAGTCTTGGATTCAGATCCTTGTTTTTCATGAGCTTGATTACTTCATGCCATTCCCTTCTGGCCTGTAGTGTTTCTGTTGAGAAGTCAGCTGAGAGCCTTATGGGGGTTCTTTTGTAGGTAATCTGTTGCTTATCTCTTGCTGCCTTTAGGATTCTCTCTGTCTTTAACTTTTGGCATTTTAATTACTATGTGTCTTGATGTGGGCCTGTTTGTGTTCTTCTTACTTGGGGCTCTCCATGCTTCTTGAACTTGAATGCCTTCTTCCTTCACCAAATTAGGGAAGTTTTCTGTCACTATTTCTTCAAATACATTCTCTAACCTTTGCTCATTTTCTTCTTCGGGGACTCCTATTATGCAAATAATATTACGTTTCCAGTTGTCCCACAGTTCTCTTAAGCTATCTTCCTGTTTCATAATTGTTTTTTTCTTTTGGTTTTCTGATTGGTTGATTTTTTTCTACCCTGTTTTCTAATTCACTGATCCGGTCCTCAGCTTCCTCTACTCTGCTGTTTAGTCCTTCCAATGCGTTCTTTATTTCTGCTATGTCATTATTCACTTCTTCTTGGTGGTTTTTCATTTCCAATTGGTTGATTTTCAATGTTTCTATGTCTTTACTCATGGTGTTGATGTCCTTACTCATGCTGTTGAGCTTCCTCAAGATCATGGTTCTGAATTCCACCTGTGATAACTTGCTTAACTGCATTTCATTTATCTCATCTTCAGTAGAGGTCTCTTGTTCTTTCATTTGGCATCTGTTTTTTTTTGTTTCACCATTTTGACTATCTCAGTGGGTTTTGGAACCTGCCAAATTTTCCGTGGGTGTTGGTGTTCTGCTGTTTGTGGCTCCCTCTACTGGGTTTGGATGAGCGTGGGAGGACCCACGTTAAACACCACTGTCAAGTCTTACTTTCCTAGGTAGATTTGCAAGCCCAGGAAAGGTTCAGTTATCCTCTAGCTTTTTGCCTGGAGGCTATTTGTCGTGGTTACTTGAAGAGCCTTGGGTTCCCAGTTAAATGAAAAACTCCCTCAGGTGTTCAGAGTAAGAGGATTTCCTGAGGGTGGGGCAAGTGCTGGTTGTTAATAAGCTTCAATTTGCATTTCAGTGACCCACCTGGGTGGGGCTGAATCTCTGAGGGAGGGGCCACCGCCTCTCCTCAGAGCCCTGGGAAGGAGTAAGATGGCCACCGTCCTGTGTGGCCGCAACTCAGCAAAAGCTCTGAGTGCCCTCCAAATCCCAAGTGTCCCCACACAGTTCCAGTCCAGTTCGCCCTCCCTCTGCCAGAGTCCAATGTGAGTGGCTGTGGCTATTTTAGCGCTCTGTCCCAGCCCTCTGCACTATGGAGCAGGCTTGGAATTTTAACTGCAAGGGCGCTGCTCACAGCTAAGACCGCTGTTCGTGGGTTCCCAGCCCCCATCTCGTGCCTCTGTAATCCTACCAGGATTGATTCAGTGTCCTGGTTATATGGTCTTCGCCAGCTGCTTTTCTGTTGCTTTTTCCAAATGATTTGTCTTTATTTTAGTTGTAATTCCAGTTTGGTCCCGGGAAATGGTCTTTGTAGCTTCCATTCACTCTGCCGCTATTTTGGAATCCTTAGGAGTTATGTTTTTCTTGTGATGTTTCAAATATGCTGAATATTTTTTACTGACTTGCATTTTTAAAACTAGATTTTATAGGCTGGGAGCAAATATGGAGAGTTGCCCATTCAAAGGAGTATTTTATTTCTCTGTTTTAAGAAATATAAATTATAAATAGGATCTAAAGGAAAACATTTCACCATAATAGAAGTGTTTTCTCTTAAGAAACAAAAAATAAAATTTGTTTTCAGGTGATAAAAAGTTAAAAATTACTAATCATGATGAATAACATCTTTGCAGTTCCTAGAAGTTCCCTCAAAATAAAATAAACTAAAAGGACACCTAGTCATAAATGGGAGGGAGGGGAAGAGAAAGTCTCTACCCTTTATCCAGCCCATTTGGGCCTGGGCATAGAAAATATTAATCTATATTTTTTTACCTAGAAATATCTATTCCCAGACACTAGTAAGAGCAGTGTGTGCAGCAGTAATATATTCTAGAAGGTTTGAAAGCCACAATGTCAAAAGGGTCATTGGCAAGGAATTCTTATTATCTATTCTTATACTTCAATTTGGAAGAGAAATGTTGAAAACACACAAAAAGAACTATAAAGAGGAAAACATAAAGATGGTTAGAATGCAATAGTCCAGAACAATTCAAAAGGAATAGAATCAGGCAGGCTACTACAGTTTCAAAAACTATCCTTTTGCGAACTAACTCCTATATCCTTTTTCTCTTTTCATCTTTGTTCTTTTCCACCTTCGTTTCTCTCAACAGTTCTTATATTTCCCAACTTTGCCTAGTTGTAAAAAAAAATCATCAAGATCTGACCTACATCTCAACAGTGTCCACACTGCTGTATCTTTCTATTACGGAATCTCCTCCTTCCAGGGGAAAGCTTTGTTTCAATTTCAAAGCCACCTGCTATAGTCAGGATTCTAAAGTGACTCAGCTAGAAAATGGTTGGCAATCCTCTGACCTACTAAAAGAAAGAACTATAAGAAAGGCAATATTTACTTACCACGAACCTGCTTTTTTATTTCTTTGGCAGAGTCCAGCCATGTCTGTAAAAAGAAGAAAAGGCATTCACACAGATTTCCAAAATATAAACAAGAGAGTACCTACCGGAAGCAGGATTACTGACCATCTTGAAATAGTGCCTCTAGGTCAACCCACATTTCCAATATTCTTTGTATTAATTTCACATAGTATAGTAATTTTGAGCAAAGAAATAGGGAGCCTGACAGTTGGGCTGGAATCCTAGCTCCACTACTTCCTGGCTGAGTGTCTTTAGGCATCTCCATACCTCAGTTTCCTCATCTATAAAATGAGATATTAGTAGCAGTACCTATCTCGGAGTTACTGTGAAAATTAAACAAATTAATAGATGTAAAGTTCTTAGCAAACAATAAAAGCTAAAAAAGCACTTGTTATTTTCACTACACTGTAAAGACTAGTAGAGAGGTATAACCAGGATTATTGTCATCACCCAGACCTTATTTTTTCCTCCAACTCTGACCTCCGGTATCATTCAGCTTTTCTATGTCAGCACAGCATCTGATACTCAGTTAGTGTTTACTGAATGACTATTTTGTTTCCCCTGAACTACTGTTGTCCACACTAATCTCCTCCTTTACTGTTCTCCAAACCCACTTAGAATCTGTACACCACTGTGGTGGACCATGCAAAATAATGGTACTTGAAAAGAGTCTCACCCTTAACATCTTTCATTTCTAAACTGAATTGCTTAAAAGATTTTATTGACATAAAGATACATACAGCCCTGGCCGGTTTGGCTCAGCGGTTAGAGCGTCGGCCTGCGGTCCTGAGAGACCCGGGTTCGGTTCCCGCTAAGGGCATGTACTTCGGTTGCAGTTTGTCCCCGGCTCTGGTCAGTCATGCGGGTGGCAGCCACTCGATGTGTTCCTTTCACATCGATGTTTCTCTCTCTCTCTCTGTTCCTCTCTCTCCCTCCCACTCTACCTGAACAAAAAAAAAAAAGGAAAAATGTCCTTGGCTGAGGATAAAAAAAAAAAAAAGATACATACAGAAAAGTACATAAAACTTAAGTATACAGATCAATAAATTATCAAAGCAAACTTATTACCAGCATCCCAGGAGCTCCTTCTGTACCTCTTCCTAATTCCTTCCCATCTCCTCCTCTAAAAAGTTTAAAATTGAATTTTAGTGGTATTTAGACAAGAGGAGTAAGGTACCCCCTCTCTTTACCCTCTACCAACAAGAGCAAAGCAAGGGTGACCCAAGGAATGAGTTTGAACGCCATAATCTTATATTTAATTGTATACCACTTTAACTGTTATATAAAGATAGTCACTACAGCCCTGGTCGGTTTGGCTCAACAGTTAGAGCATTGGCCCTTAGACCAAAGAGTGGTGGGTTCGATTTCAGTCAAGGGCATGTACCTCAGTTACGGTTTAGTCCCTGGCCCTGGTCAGGGTCATGCCGGAGGCAACCAATCAGTGTGTCTCTCTCACATCAATGTTTCTCTCTCTCTCTCCCTTGCTCTCTCTCTCTCCCTTCCTCTCTTTCTCTAAAAAAACAAAACCCATATTTTAAAATAGAGTGATATAAATCATAAATTTGAGGAAGCATGACTATAGACAGGGAGACCAAATAAGAGGTGGTTGTTGAGAATGAAATGATAATTGTGGTCCAGAACAGAATAATGATTAGGGATACTGGTTTTGAAGTCAGATAGTCTTGAGTTCTAATCCTACCTCAACATCGCCACCATTTACTAGTAATGTAACCTTATATAACACAATCTTTCTGAGTCTCAATTTTCTCATCTATACAATTGGGATAAAACCACCTTCCTCACAGTTACTGTGGATTAAATTATTTGATGTATATAAAAAAACATAAGCCAGTACTAAATAAATTATACTGATATCGATAACCAAAAAAGCCTAATGGGATAAAGTCTATGGGACAGAGAAGAAAGATATTTAGGAGCTAAAATAGTCAGGATTTATGACAGAGTTGGTAAGATACAATGGTAAAGGATAATTCCCAAGTTGCTGGCTTGGGCAACTGCTGGATATGGGAACAGGAAATTCCCACATCTGAAATAGGAAATGAAGAAAAAGAAATAAATTTTCAAAAAGAAGAAAAAGATAGCCCTGGCTAGTTTGGCTCAGTGGTTAGAGTGTCGGCCCGTGGACCAATGAGTAACGGGTTCGATTCTGGTCAAGGGCATGTACCTCAGTTGCAATTCGTCCCTGGCCCTGGTTGGGTTTCTACCAGAGGCAGCCACTCCATGTGTCCCTTTCACGTCAATGTTTCTCTCTCTCTCTCTTCTTTTCTCTTCCTCTCACTCTATCTGAACAAAAAAATGCCCTAAGGTGAGAATAAAAAAAGAAATTTTATTTTAAATAAAAAAGAAGAAAAAGATTGAAAAAAATTTGAAACAACATAAATGTCTCCCTATCAAGAGTTTATTTTACGAATTATAACATTTTAAAGAGAATTTAAGTTTGTGCATAAAAAAACTGCATTCCTTCTTGAGCTTAAAAAATGTTTCAGCCCTGGCTGGTTTGGCTTAGTGGTTAGAGCATCGGCCTGCAGACCGGAGAGTCCTGGGTTCAGTTCCCGCTAAGGGCACGTACCTTGGTTGCTGTTTGTCCCTGACCCCTGTTGGGGTTGTGTGGGTGGTAACCATTCAATGTGTCTCTCTCACATCGATGTTTCTCTCTCTCTCTTCCTCCCTCACTCCTTCCAGCTCTAACAGAAGATAAATGCAAAAATGTCCTCAGGTGAGGATTAAATAAAATGTTTCAAAATAATACAGAGATGAACAGTAGCAATATCTTGATATAGATAGATCTCCATTCACTCAACTGAATAATTTCAGGTTTCACATGTCCTCTCCTGTTTCAAGATACCTTCTCATATATTGTTCTGGTCACTTGGAATACTCTATCCACATTTCTTCATCTGTAAGATTCCTAACTATCTCTTATAATTTAGATCTTATGTTGCCTTCTACAGAAAACCGGTTCTATGTTGGTATCCATCTTACTAATGTCTCCTAGTCAGTCTGGGAGTTTCCTGAGAAAGAGACCATGTCTTTTATAGCTATGCCCAGCACAAAGCAGATGCTAAGATGCTATCTACTTAATAATGTTTGATAAATGAAAGAATGAAGAATGCTACTGAAATAAATCAGGAGAGCAATGATAAAGTTTTAACTAAGGGATGAAATTTAAGGATATAAAACAATAGTAACTTCCCCTATCTTTTGTAGCAATTATAACCTTGAGGTCATAAAGTTCTAAGGAAGAACCCTAAGAAAGAATAGGCCCCAAGTTGGTCATCAGCTACCCTTATCTGGAGGTCCTGAAATCCCCTACATATACATAAGTGATTTATACAAATCCTCATCTCTTGAGGCAAAAGATTTATCTATAAGTTCCATAGTCTATCTTCCTTAATTCAAGAAATAACCATTGTTTATGTTGCTGCTGGTATGTTGACTTCAAATCACTGCTACAAAATATGTTTATAGACACTATAGTGCAAGTAATATAGGTCTTACTGCTTACCTGTTTTAAAAAAGCCATATTAAATCCACTGGTGATGTTAACCCAAATCTTCCTAGCAAAAGACAAGATCCCCAAAATAGCCTCCCTACTCTGCAAGTACATTTACAAAATTCATTTTAGTATTTCTAATTTGCCATATAATAAAGATACAATCATTACTGGAATTTGCCTTCAAAGCCAGTCATGAATCAATGAAAAACAATCCATCTTTTCAGATGACTATAAACTCAATTCCTCACACTCTTAATTCAATATTCACTGTACTGGTGTTACTTGCCTTTCAAAGGTGAAAGAAAGACTCTTTTGGCTATCTTTCCACTCCTAAGGTCAAGATAATTCATCCATACAGAAAATGGAAGAAAGGAGAAAGAAGCCCATATACTATTGAATTGAATGAACCCCTTATTTAAAATTCTCATTTACCAAAAGAGTTCAAATATTATTTTTGCTTAGAGAGGGAATTTAGGGATAAGGGGTAGAAATTAATGTAGGTGACTTTTCCTCCAAGGAAAAAATCCTTGATTCATTTATAAATAACTAATTCTAAGCAGATATAAAATGTAGGAAGCAACTACTTGACTCATATAACCGTAGTAATAAATCTCTCTCAGAGCTATAGAAGTTTGCTTCTCATTGCTTTTCATCTTTTCTTGCCAGACTCAGTCTGGCAATAGGCCTATTATCATATAGTCAGTAGGGAAAGAGAGCAAGCAAGCCATTCCATGTGAGGAAATAGTCAATTCAATTAACTTTCCTCCCTGATAAAGGTATCCATGATAAAGGTATCCAATTCTCTACAAATAAAATACACAGATATAGGAGAGAAGTTACATTTACCAAGGACAAATCTTTTTCTTTTTTTTCTTTTAATGTTTTCGCTGATTTTTCAGATAGGAAGGGAGAGAGAGACAGAAACATCAATGTGGCTGCCTACTGTACGCCCCCTACTGGGGATCGAGCCCAAAACCTGGGCATGTGCCCTAGCCAGGAATTGAACCAGGACCTCTCAGCCCATGGGACAATGCTCAATCCACTGAGCCACACTGGCTGGGCCAAAGGACAAATCTTTACAAACATGAAAGGAGACACCAAAGACTGGGAATGTATTTATTTCTTCTTGTATTATGGTTCACATTTTCCCCTATAATATGAGTAACTAACTCCATAGGTAGGAAGCAAAAACCAAAAAAACAAAGGTAAAATGTAAAAATCCAAGAAAGAGGAATAAAAAGCTGAAGAAGAATATCACGTAGGCCCTGGCCGGTTTGGGTCAGTGGTTAGAGCATCAGCTTAGAGCGTCAGCCCATGGACCAATGAATGAGTCATGGGTTCAATTCCGGTCAAGGGCACATACTTTGGTTGCAGTTCTCCCCAGCCCTGATTGGGATTGTGCAGGAGGCAACCAGTTGATGTGTCCTTCTCATGTTGATGTTTCTCTCTCTCTCTCTCTCTCCCCCCCTCCCACTCCACCTGAACAAAAATGGAAAAATATCCTCGGGTGAGGATTTAAAAAAAAAAATCACTTAGCCTGGCTAGTGTGGCTCAGTGGTTGAGCATTGACCCATGCACCAAGAGATCGCCAGTTCAATCCCTAGTCAAGGCACATGCCCAGATTATGGTCCAAATCCACAGTGGGGGGCATGCAGGAAGTGGCTAATTGATGCTCTCTCTCATCAATGTTTCTATCTCTCTCCCTCTCCCTTTTGTCTCTCTAAAAAAAGCAATAAAGAAAAAAAAATTTATAAAGAAAAGAAAATCACTTAGGAAGAGGCATCAGGCAAGGAATTTCAGGAGTGAGTTGACTGTGTAGCTCTGAGAAAGCCACTCTGTCTTTATATATTAGAGTTTTCTTATCTCTAAAATGAGGGGGATGAGCCCCAAGAGCCTGTTTTCAGAATGACAGAAAACTCAGATAAATGATTAACAAAGATGAATTGTTGTACAGATTGAATCATGTCATGAATATCTCTATACTTTTGGTGAGAGAATCTGAAAATCTGGCTCATTGACAGTAAATGTATAGGGAATAGTAACTAAAATGAGTCAGATAATCTGACTAGAACATCGATTTCAAGTAAAAGGTATGCTGGAGAATCAATTTCAAGTAAAAGGTATGCTGTTCTCCAGTATACCCTACCTGAGATAATATCAAGTAGCTTATTCAACATGAAGTATGCTCTAAGAATGCACCTCTAGATTATGACACACAAATCTAATTATTTTAAGAAAAGGTTTTGGTTATTTGGTAATTTCTTCTTTAAATAATACTATCATAACAACAAAGATAATAGCTAATTTTTATTAAATGTTTTCTACATGCCAGCCACCATTCTTTATGCTTTTATAAAGATAATTTCATTAGCCTTGGCTAAGTAGCTCAGTTAGAGTGTTGCCCTGATATACCAAGGTTGCAGGTTCAATTCCCAGTCAGGGCACACACAAAAAGCAACCAAGGAATGCATATATTTATCCAGGAACACAAATCAATGTTTCTCTCTCTCTCTCTCTAATCAATTTTTAAAAATATATTATCTCATTATGATTCTTGCTTTACCAATGACAAAAGAGAGGTATAAGTAATTTACCTAACTCACAACTAGTAAGTGGCAAAGCAGTTCTCTGAAGTGTAATAATATCTCATTCTTTCAACACACATCTATTGAATGCTTACCAAACTCAAGCTAGGCAATGTGCTAGATAGATAATGACATTTTAAAGGAAATCATGGCAAAAAATACAGGTATGGGCCCAGAACAGTGGATGATAATCAACTCACAACAAGATACATCACTGTGAATCTCAGAGCAAGCAAGAAAGAAAGAGAGGGAGAGAAAGGAAGGAAAGAAGGAAGAAAGGGAGGAAAGAAGGGAGGGAGGGAAAGGAGGGAGGGAGGGAGAAAAAAAGAAAAACAGATTCTACTAGCTTAGCCCAGCTGGTGTGGCTCAGTTGATTGAGCATCTGCGTATGGACTGAGAGGAGTTCGATTCCCAGTAAGAGCACATGCCTGGGTTTCAGGCTCGATCCCCAGTAGGCGGCATGTAGGAGGCAGCCGATTGATGTTTCTGTCTCACCTGGATATTTCTACCTCTCTCTCCCTTCCTCTCTCTAAAAAAATCAATAAAAACATATTTTAAAAAATATTTTACTAGCTTAATTCTACAAAGGTGGGAGAGAGGGAATGTTATACAAAGGATCAAAAATCAGAATGCCTTTGGACTTATCAATGGCAACATTGGAAGCTAGGCGGCAATGGAGTAATGCCTTTAAAATGCCTGAAATTCTACACTCAACCAAACTAACAACCAAATGTGAGAGTAGAATAAAGACATTTTTCAGACATATAATGCCCTGAAAAATGACATCCTATGTACCATTTCTCAGAAGAAGTGTTCCAAAAAACACAAGGAAAAACTAGGATAAAGGAAGTGGAGAAACATCACAGGATAGAAGCAAAGCAAATCTCCATTTCACTTGTCCATTTTATCCTTCAGGTCTCAGTTTAGGCATCAGCTGTCCAGAGAGGACCTCCCTGGCTATACTCTCCCATGACATCTTGTACTTCCTTTTGTATGACATTCATTACACTAAACTGTAAGCTCCAGAGGGAAAGGACTCTGTCTACCTATTCACAGCTATATCCATGTGATCTAGTATAGCATTTGCAAATACTTGTTAAACTGGACTAAAGTTTTCATCATTTGATTTTAAGCTAGATATTTGTAATTTTTAGTTAATTATACCAGAAAATAATTCAAGTTTTCTGAAATAATTACTTGACTTTTAACCTTTTTTCCCTCTTCTATGTTCTCACGCTTTCTTTTACTCCCTTCAATTAACTTTACTGGTTTTCTTTTAGACTGGAAAAATATTTCAGATTCATTGTATAATTGTTTCAACAATATTGGGACTTTACTACCTATTATAATGTTACTCTCAAATTATAATATAAGTATAATAATTATAATATTAATAGAACCATCCATTCAACAAATATTTATTATGAACCTCCTACATATTAGATCAAATACTAATTGCATAATACATAAAGTTATTGGCATATACTTGCTCATTGGGACATCATAGCTCTGTACTTTCCCTGTCTTTTAAAAATAAATAGTAGAGCCCTGGCCAGTTTGGCTCAGTGGTTGGAGCGTCAGCCTGCGGTCCAGAGAGACCCGGGTTCGGTTCCCGCTAAGGGCACGTACCTCATTTGCAGTTTGTCCCCGGCCCTGGTTGGTCATGCAGGTAGCAGCCACTCGATGTGTCCCTTTCACATCGATGTCTCTCTCTCTCTCTCTCTCTTCCTCTCCCTTCCTCCCACTCTATCTGAACAAAAAGTGGAAAATTGTCCTCGGGTGAGGATAAAAAAAATAAAATAAAATAAATAAATAAATAAAATAAATAGTAGATACATCCAATGATGAAAGAACACACCAGCAATTACTTTTTTCTTTAAAATGTTCCTTCTAGAGAAACAAGAATAATTCTAAGTATACCATGTCTTAAAGAAGTAGGTATAAATATATTCTTTTTTTTTTTGTTAATCCTCATCAGAGGATATCTTTTCCATTGATTTTTAGAGAAAGTGAAAGGGAAGGGGAAAAGAGAGAGTGAAACACTGATGTGAGAGAGACACATCAATTGCTTGCCTCCCACACACGCCCCAACTGGGGCTTGAGATAGAACCTGCAACCCAGATATGTGTCCTTGACTGGAAATCAAACCAGGTGAACTTCTGATGCATGGGCGGACACTCTAACCACTGAGCAAAAATGTCCAGGGCATAAATACATTCTTTTTTTTTAAAATCCTCATCCGAGGACATTGTTGTATTTATCTTCAGATAGAGCAGGAGGGAGAGAGGTAGGAAGAGAGAAAGAGAAACACCATGTGAGAGAGACACATCGAGTGGATGCCACCCACACGACCCCAACCGGGGCCAGAGACAAACTGCAACCAAGGTACGTGCCCTTAGTGGGAACCGAACCTGGGACTCTCTGGTCTGCGGGCCAATGCTCTAACTGCTGAGCCAAACCAGCCAGGACATAAATATATTCTTAACAAAAGAATTAAAACAATTTTTTGGTCAGCTTCTTACATTACCAGCAGTCTCCTCCTTACCTTGGTGGTTTCGTCATCCCAAATGGCTAAACCAAAGTAGTCTTCTTCCAAAAGATTGAGGTGCTCACACACTCGTTTAAGCAAATCTTGTCCTTTTGCATGTTTCTGCAAAGATATACATACTTTAGTTGAGGTTTCCTCTTATTCCTGTATTCTTCACCAAATAAAATAAAACGTCCTTTTTCAATTTCCTCTTTTATCCCTTCTTCTTCATTTATTTATTTATTTATTTATTTATTTATTTATTTATTTATTTATTTAGTGGTACGTGCCCCTAGCAGGAACCAAACCCGGGACTCTCTGGTCTGCAGGGAATGCTCAACCACTGAGCCAAACTAGCCAGGGCTCTTTTTCTTCTTCTTCTTTTTTTTAATCCTCACCTGAGGAGAGAGAGAGATTTATATATATAATGTCCTTTACTAATTTCCTCTTTAATCCTTTCTTCTCTTTTTTTTAAATCCTCACCCGAGGGTGGGTTGGTAAGCAGGTAGTTAGGTAGATAGGTAGGTAGACAGACAGACATAGACATAGACATAGACATAGACATAGACATAGACATAGACATAGACATAGACATAGACATAGACATAATCTATCTATATGTTTTTAATTCCTCACCCAAAGATATTTTTCTATTTATATTCAGATAGACTTGGAGGGAGGGAGAAAGAGGGAGGGAGAGAGAAACACTGACATGACAGGGACACATCGACTGGTTGCCTCCCGCAAGAGACCAGGGCCGGGAACAAACTGCAACTGAGGTATGTGCCCTTGACTGGAATCAAACCCACGACTCATTGGTAAGCAGGCTGACACTCTAACCACTGAGCCAAACCAGCGAGGCCCTGAGGATATATTTTTATTGATTTTTAGAGAGAGAGGAAGGGGGAGAGGAAGAGGAAGAAGAAGAGAGAGAGAGAGGGAGGGAGAAGGAGACAGAGAGAGAGAGAGAGACAGAGACAGAGACAGAGAATCACTGATATGAGAAACATTGATCAGTTGCTTCCCATATGCACCTGACAGGGGATCAAACCTGCAACCTTTTGGTGTACAGGACAACACTTCAACCAACTGAGCCACTCAGCCAGGGCACTAACACTTTCAAATGGCTACATAGTGTAAGTAGAACAAAGTGAGTTACAAAAATCTTATTTCGTAATTTGTCAACTAAACATTCAACACACTTATAGGGCTTGGCAATAGTGCTACAATTCAAAGCAAAATTCCACGTTTCTTCCATCTACCTCCACCCCCTCACCTCCGTCCTAAACATGACATTATTTTTTGGTGCAGTATTTCCTGAAACTTGCTATTGGCTCTTGTCAGTCATCATGACCACCTGAATTAACTGAATCAACTATTGACATTGACAGTTAGTGGCTATGGAAATTATTAGACTCTCTCATTCTAAGACCAAATGTCCCAAGAGAAGAACTATGTCTAAAGTTCACTCAATCTCTTTCAGAAAAACGTATAAAGTGTAAAATTCCAGGTACCCTGCATATATTAACTATTACAATTACTCTTTCAGTTGTGCTACAAATCATTTTCTTAATGTTTATTTACCTAGAAAATAAACCACCGCAAATTTGGGAACTTGTATTCCTATTTATAGGGAGGAAATGCCCTAACTTAGAAGCTGAGATTTAGAGTTAAAAAATCCTTGCTCCTCCATACACTTGCTAAAAAATCTGAGTCTATTCAATTACTATTTCTGAACATTAGCTTTCATATTTACACCTGTCCTACCTATTGACTGGAATGGTTGAAAAAAATCAAACATGCTAATAACATGCCTTTGGAAAAATATATTTTTTTCAATATAAAAAATTTAGAAATAATTTTTAGGAACACATATATGACATGTCCTTCTCTCAATGAATTTTTTTAACTGATTTTTTGAAAGGAAGGGAGAGATAGAAACATCAATCAGCTGCCTCCTGCAGGCTCCCTTCTGGGGATTGAGCCTGCAACCCAGGCATGTGCCCTGACCAGGAATCCAACCGAGACCTCTCAGTCCACGGAGCAACAATCAATACACTGAGCCACACTGGCCAGGCTCTCAATGAGCTACTTTTAATGACTATTAGTAATTCATACAGATGTTAACCCACTTATATTACATCATTTTCTCACCTATGTTTTCTACTCCCTAGTTTATAATTCCAAATCTAAAAGTTAATGGTGATTGTTTGGGTCAAAGCTCATTTGAAAGCAAATTCTGACCTGAACTGTCATAGGGCTATATTTTATTTTATTTTATTTATTTATTTATTTTTATCCTCACCCGAGGACATTTTTTTTTTTTTTTTGCATTTATCTTCAAATAGAGCAGGAGGGGAGTGGGGGGGGGGAGAGAGAGAAACATTGATGTGAGAGAGACACATCGACTGGTTGCCACCCACATGATCCCAACTGGGGCCAGGGATAAACTGCAACCGAGGTATATGCCCTTAGCGGGAACCGAACCCGGGACTCTCTGGTCCACAGACTGACGCTCTAACGACTGAGCCAAACCAGCCATGGCATATATTTTATTTTTATTTAGTCATCTTATAATGAATCTTCATATATTTACCATAGAAATAATGTGTTTGACCAAATAATGTCTGACTACTACACTCTACTGGGTATGTTTTGAAATCTGCAGAATATGTACTTACTGCTTTTTCTAAAACCCAAAATATTCTGAATTCTGAAACACATCTGCCCCAAACTGCTTCAGATAAGGCACCCATATCTGAATCTTTGTCTGAATGGGAAGAATGCATATGGAATAGCTTTCCTCATCTCTAAACTAGCTAGTGGTGAGAAGAAAAAAGAATAGACCCTAGGTCTCCTCTAGTTACCAGGTGTTATAGCTATTTTCAAAGTGCAATAGTATATTTTTCTTGATTTATTTTTCAACTTGGAGAGGCAACACCTATTAATAAATATAATATTTTAGACTATTTGTGCTTTGATATATTTGCTTTTGCATATAAATAATTCAATTCAGAAGTAATTTGTTGCAAGCCTAAGATACAAAAATATATACACTGTTTCATTAATAAAAGCTATTATTAGTAATAATCACAACAATTACTTTATATCAAGCATATAATTGACAATTATTGCTCTAGTTTAAAAATTAGCTAATAGATTTTTTTTTTAATCCTCACCTGAGGATACTTTCCCATTTTTCTTCAGAAAAAGTAGGAGGGAGGGAGAGATAGAAAGAGAAGGAGAGAGAGAGAAACATCGATGTGAGCGAGACACATCGACTGGTTGCTTCCCACATGACCCTGACCAGGGCCGGGGCCAAACCGCAACTGAGATACATGCCCTTGATCAGAATTGAACCCATGACTCATTGGTCTGAGGGCCGATGCTCTAACTGCTGAGCCAAACCAGCCAGGGCAGCTAATAGATTTTTAAGGATTTTAACTTGTCTTGAAGGAGTAAAAGAGAAACTGAATAACTCACATTTTTATTCAATCTTGATTCAATTTCTTATTCTTTCAGAAAATAACAGAGAATTTTAAGAAATGGCATTACTTGATTTACATTTTTTATATCCTATCTCATGGCAATAAATACATTAAGTAAACTAAAGCTTAAGGTTTAGAGAGAGCAAAAATGAACAGACAGTATTTTTTTTTGACATTTAGTCATGGAAGTCACTCTATAAATAACAAACCTATTTTTAAAATAGGTTTGGTGTGGCTCAGTTGGTTGGGCATCATCCCATGCACGGTAAGATTGCCAGTTCAATTCCTAGTCAGGGCACATGCCTGGGTTGCAGGCTCGATCCCGGGGGTTGGGGGGTACCAGAGGCAGCTATTCAAAGTTTTGCTCTCACATCAATGTTTTTCTCTCCCTCTCCTTCTCTCTTCCTTTCTCTAAAAACCATTAATTAAAAAGTGTTTTGATTATAAAAGTAACACATGCTCAATTCACAAGATTTGAGAGATGCAGAAAAAAATTGAGGAAAATAGGCTCACTCATAATCCTTCCACACATCTACCTCCAGAAAAATCACTATTAACATTTCAGCCCATAGGAATTGTCCTCATACTGGGTCATATCTCAGGCACCATTTACCCAACCCTACATGAAATAATTTGTAAGAATTCTAACTACTGAAACTTAAAATGCACTTACTTCCACAACACATTCATAAACTGTGTCATCCAACAAAGAAACCTTGCAATGCATGTTTCTGTGTCTTCTGATTGATTTCTGGGAAACTTTTAATTCTCTTTCTGCTTTTGATTCAGGACTTTCTTCTTTCACTTCTATATTAGAGCACTCTTCAACTCCTCCTTCCTTAGTTTCAAAATCTGGATCTTCTCTGCGTTCTTCCTGAGCAGGCTACATATGCATGACATCACCAAGTTAGTAATAAAGACATTTCACAAAACATGCTGTATACATGTCTACCTATAATAATGCTACCAATAAAAGCACTAATTGAAGAAGAAAAACTGTTGAAACAAATGTGATATTAAGATTAAATCATTATTTTTCCATAAAAGATATTATGATCTCCCAAAAGATCTACAGACTCTGCTATTCTTAAAACTTCATAATAGAAGGTAGAATCCTATCTTTCAAATCAATAAATTAAGGTTTCAGATAAACTAGAGGATACCAATCTGTTGTTTTCAGCATTATATATTCTTCCTGACTATGTCATTATATAATTTTAAAGCCTATCAAAACTTTAACATCTTTGTGCCATGCTGCTCAATTTTAGCACTGTAGCCTAATGAATTGAAAAATGAGATGTGATTGTCAACTATTCTAAATTTTATGAATGGCTAAGAGGGGTTCTTGGGACCAATTTTAGAGCATAAAGCAACATATATAGTAGGCTAACAACTGTAACTACCAATTAACTAATACCAGGTATCAATCATGATAAATGCAAAGAAGATTCAAAGGAGCAAAAAACAGACTGAAATCAGGGTCTCCTAGGGCCTGAACTGTTATGAGGCTATTTTTATATTTATCTATCTTAGAATGAATCTTCATATATTTTACACACAGGTTAAGTGGAACAACATTTTGGCAAACTTTCTTACTTCAAGCACAAAATTGCTGGAAGATTTTTTTTTTTATCCTCGCCCGAGGACATTTTTTCATTTTTTGTTCAGATGGAGTGGGAGGGAGAGAGGGGAAGAGATAGAGAGAGAGAAAAACATCGACGTGAAAGGGACACATCGAGTGGCTGCCACCTGCACGATCCAATCAGGGTCGGGGACAAACCGCAACCAAGATATGTGCCCTTAGCGGGAACCAAACCCGGATCTCTCTGGACCACAGGCCGACGCTCTAACCGCTGAGCCAAACTGGCCAGGGCGCTGGAAAATTCTTAACTAAACCTCACTAATTATTTTATTTTAAACGAATGCATGGTTGATATTTAGGAAAAAGGATTTCATTATTTGGCTCCTACATTACATATTGGAAGAGGCCTAAAAGGCTCCTTTCCAACCTCATGAACCTCTTAAATGTAACCTCTTCAGAGAGGTCTTCATTGGCTATCCTATCTATCCTATTCTTTATATCAGTACCTTGTGTGTTGCCTTCATAACACTTAATTATGATAAATAAATTATTATTTTATATTTTTTGTCTCTTTCCTTACACTATACAGTTATCAAGAGTAAGGATGATTTTTCTTTTATAAAAATAAAGCAAACATTTACAAAGCAATTATAATACACAAGTTACTGTAAAGCATTACTCATATGAATTCATTTATCCTCATAATACCATTTAGGGGGGTATTATTATTATTCCCATTTGACAGATAAGAAACTGAGGCCAGAGAAGTTCAAGTAACTTGCATAGGATCATACAGTTAATAAGTCACATGTCAGTCTGGCTCCAAAATTCAAGTTCTCAAACCTCTTCACCATGTTGTCATTTTTATTTACCAATGTATATTCAGCTTAGGGCCTGGTACACATGGTAGGTTTTCAATAAATATTTGTTTAATGGCTTCAAAAAAAATCTAAGGCACTCTAGATGAAAAATGGTAAAATCCTATAAAGCAAACTCACTTTATTAAGAATCCTAGATAAAAAAGGACCACTCGCCCTGGCCGGTTTGGCTCAGCGGTTAGAGTGTTGGCCTGCGGTCCAGAGAGACCCAGGTTCGGTTCCCGCTAAGGGCACGTACCTCGGTTGCAGTTTGTCCCCGGCCCTGGTTGGTCCTGCGGGTGGCAGCCACTCGATGTGTCCCTTTCACGTTGATGTTTCTCTCTCTCTGTCTTCCTCCCACTCTATCTGAACAAAATATCGAAAAATGTCCTCAGGTGAGGATAAAAAAAAAAAAGGACCACTCAAATGAAATTCTTCTACAAAGAATTTAAACAAACCTTTATTCACAAGGTTCTGATCCACAAGGTTGTGACTGTAAATACTAGTTTCAAAAATGCCCCAAATAGTGTGCTCCTTTAAACAATATCCCCTTGAACTTTTATTTACTTTGTTTCTTTTTCTTTATATGTAGGTAAATACCTGCACACAATTTATCCCAATTCTAAATTAAAGACATTTCAATGATGAGATTTTAATTAAATGTAGAATTAATTTTGTCTATCATCTGTTTCAATTTCAGTACAAATACTATGATCTTAAGACAAAATAAACTAAACCTGACTCAAATGTTAACTAGAATGAGATACAGATTTTTCCCTATATAAAGCAGAGGACCAAAAATGTAGTTAAAATCCTCTTGAAAGTACCAGGCTTCCTGAAAGATGGTATAATTTAACTCTTGGTATTCTTAAAATAAAACTAATGATATTAAGATTTATAGGGTTAAAAAAAAAAAGATACGTAGGGTTTCTTTGCCTTTACTGTTTATGTTTACTGAGTAACAATAACTAACATTGATTGATTACTGTATGATAGGCAATAACTTAAGTAAGGCTTTACATGTTTACCTCTTTTAATCTTCATAATTGCCAAATGAGGTAGATATTATTAATACTCATACAGAGGAGGAAACAGATAAAGCAAAAGTGTAACTTCTCTAAGATTTGAACCCTCTAGTCTAATTCCATAACCTGCATTCTTAATTGTTACACTATATAGTAAATCTTGTTTTCAATCTTGTTTCACTAATAGCAAGTATGTAGTTACAACTTTATCCTAAATTTTACTCTTAGCACCTTTAATATATAATATTTATAGAAATACATTTATTACTTTTCAAAAATTCTAATAAAATTGTATAGCCCAAAACTGAGACCTATAATAGAAATATATAGGACTTAGACTACTATGCAGATAATGCTCACATTATTCAGAAATATAAAGACTGAAATTTTTCCCATGTTTTTTGGACAGATGAACAAATTCACAGCTCATGTTTAGTTTAACTATACTGGGACACAATTAAGACCTCAAATTACTATATATTATAATGGTGATATAAAGAGCTAGACTTCCTCATCTATATCTTACACTCTGTGGTAATATGATCTAGTTGGAGAATATGACAAGAATAAGGTAGACATGGCTCAAATCCATCACTTAATACCTCTGGAAGGCTTGAATCTATCACAAGGCTTTTATGAGATTTCCATAAAAGAATCATATCTGCTAATAACCACCCCATTCCTAATAATTCTAACAAAATGAACCCTAAACCACCTGAATTCTTTTTTTCCCTTTTATTAAACATCACAAACTTGTTCCACTATTATAGTAAAATGATATATAGGCTGAATAAATTCATCTGATAAATTATTTTCTTTTTGTTTTAATTTATACTGTATAAGTATCTTTAAAAATCAAGTTTCTATTGACTACATTAATTTCTTTTTATTTTATTTTATTTTATTTTTCAATTATAATTTACACTCAGTATTATTTTGGATTAGTTTCAGGAGTATAGCATAGTGGTTAGACAATCATATACTTTATAAAGTGGTCCCCTGATATTTCAAGTACCCATCTGGCACCATACATAGTTATTATAATATTATTGACTATATTCTCTATGCTGTACTGTACATCCCTCTGACTACAATAATTTCTTTAGAGCAGAAACTCCAAAGCTTCATATTACTTATTACTATCAATGCCAAGTCAACTGGCTAGTAACAAATAAAACCAAATGTTCTTAAATGAAAAATAAAGTGTCTAACCTACCTTCATTAACCCACCTCCCACACATTCACATATCCTTACCTGTGTTTCTGCACTGCTTAATGAGTGAAGATCCAAGGATGGGTCTGTTTTGAGTTCAGGTTCAGGAGCTGCAATTGGAGCCTTTAAAATGATCTCTTCATCAAGACTGGTTGCAAATTCTATATCTTCCTGACCTACTTCACCTTTCTCTTTAGCTGATTCCACTCCTTTGCCTTCTTCCTCAGTGACCTGAGATTTAGGCCTTTTGAGAAATGAGGAGAACAGTCTTGACAGGCCCCTGTTTTCTGATGTCCGCTCCTTGTTCTTGGTCAAGTCCTCATGCGTAGGAGTGTCTCCATTAGATGTTTTCAGCTTCTGCTCACAATGATTATCTCCCTCAGCTGCTGCTTGAGAAGCCTCTTCCAGTTGAGTTTCTTGTTGGCCTGAGCTTGTAGCTCCCTCACCCTCCTCCTTCTGTTGATCCTGTGAATTTTCGGCCTCAGCCACTAAACTCTTCTCTGTTGTCATGACGTTGCTATTAAAAAGAAGTTGGAAAAGGAAGTCTTATAAGCAAAACACATTACTGTAAGTGAAACTCTAAATCAGGTCAAGTGTGCTAAAACTAATATATTTAGGTATTTAATCACCAACAGACAATACTCTAGTCCATTAAATATGAGGCTTTCCATTAAAGCACAAAAATACTTACCTACACATCCTGAATAAATTATTAATGCCTTGACTTGCTAAAGATATGCCCATAGAGAAATTAGTTTTAAATAGTACCTCCTGAGGTCACCTTAGTAAAATGCATATTTTAAATTCAATGCTCAGAACTGTACATAGCCTTAAAAAGTACTGTACCCTGCCTTAAAAAGTATCTTATTTGTATAATGTCCTCTGAGGGTATCAATCTGAAGGTGCAAGGCAGTTAAACTATTACAATGTAGAGAAGTAATAGAGAAAGATGAAACCAAACAGAGAAATAAATTTAGAATGCAAACAGTTCAATTGTAGGAAAGGAGGAAGAGGTAGGCTGTAGACCTCACATATTTCAAACTTGTTGGTTTCTAGCCTCTTGATCTAAAAATCCCAGTATTAGTAATCAAGCCTCACAATAATAGCCAGAAAGCATTGTCACACCTTGTTTACTAAAGAATAACAAACACACAAGGGAACTTTTGAGATACTAGGCAATGAAGTTGACTATTGATGATCTTCCATTTTGATTCACTGCTACAGCTGAAAGTACTCCACTCAAAAAGCAGCATTTACATTATCTTTACACCTGCTCCATACTATTTATATGAAGTAATTTTATTTGGAGCTTAACAATCCAAATTTATTAACTATATTTAGCTCATTCCCTCCTCAGGCCCTTGGCATTTGCAGTTCTCCCTACTTATGATGTTCTTCTCCAAAGGGGGTCCTCTTCTCATTATTACCATCTCTGCTCAGACATCACTTCCTTAGAAAGGCCTCCCACACACATCCTGTCTAAAGTAGTGGCCCTGCCTGGCTAGTGTGGCTCAGTGGATTGAGCGTCATTCCATTGACTGCGAGGTCCTGGTTCCATTCCCAGTCAGGGCACATGCCAGGGTTACAGGCTTGATCCCCAGTAGGGGAAGTACAGGAGGCAGTCGATCTATGTATCTCTCTAACATTGATGTTTCTATCTCTCTCTCTAAAAAAATCTATAAATCTTTTAAAATATAAAAATAAAGTAGTGGCCCTTATTCTTCCAGATGGCCTCACACCATTACTGCACTTAATATTATTTACCATTATCCTGTTACCTTATTTGTTTACTGGTTTAGTGTCCTCTCCCTTTCTAAATGTAAGTTCCCCCAGCTAAAATGTAAGTTCCATGAAGACAGAATAATACCTGGCACAATATAGGTCTTCATAAAAGTTTGTTTAATTAATTAATTTCAAATGAATATACTTGACAAATATAAAATGCAAAGGCATTATCTAAATTTATTTAACATGCATAATACTCATTCAACAAATCCTTATCAAACACCTAGGTCCTATGCTAGGTGCTGGGGATACAACACTAAACAAAACAAATAATTTCTTCGTCATTATGGAATTTATATTCTTTTTTTCTTTTTTTTAAAATCCTCACCCAAGGACATTTTTGTATTTACCTTCAGATACAGCGGAAGGGAGAGGGGGAGGAAGAGAGAGAGAGAAAAACATTGACGTGAGAGAGACACATTGACTGGTTGCACCCACAGGACCTCAACCAGGGCCGGGGACAAACCGCAACTGAGGTACATGCCCTTAGTGGGAACTGAACCCGGATCTCTCTGGTCTGTGGGCCAACATTCTAACTGCTGAGCCAAACTGGCCAGGGCTGGAATTTATATTCTTAATTCACTTTAACCAGTATGAAAAAAATTCAAGAGAAATCTTATTTACAATGTGAGCAAAATCTAAATGTGGATAAATGGAACAAAGCAGTAAAAAGGGAAGGAAGCTAATGGTAGTGAGCAGTGTTTCTATATCAGGTCCCATGTCAGGGACATTATCTACATTATGCCAATTAAGCCTTTCAACAACCCTGAAAGGGAAGAGGAAACACCTAATCTTAGAGTTGAATACATCTTAAACTCAGATGCCAGGCTGAGTGTGTGGCTCAGTGGATGAGCATTGACCCATGCACCAAGAGGTCGCCAGTTTGATTCCCAGTCAGGGCACATGCCTAAATTGTGAGCCAAATCCAGTGGGGGGCATGCGGGAGGCAGCTGATCGATGTTTTCTCTCATCAATGTTTCCACCTCTCTCTCTAAAATCAATAAAGAAGAAAACAAAATCTTAAACTCAGAAAGTAACTTGCCCAAAGCCACACTGCTAGTAGGCGACAAATCAACCACTTTTAGTATTATTGAACTAAATAAAGTTATATTATAAGGAAAAGCCTTTATGTTGATTCTTACAGCTAATCTACTCAAATTATTTTATGTCTTAAAAATATTTTAAGTAACATAATAAAAATATTTACAGAAGCACATTTTCTAGTCTCATTTACTAAAGTCATCAAACTTACTCTACGCTAATAAAATATGCAATCCAGTCTTTATAAACACTACTTAAAACATTTACCAACCAACATACATTCTTTTTAAAATATGTTTTTATTAATTTTTTTGATAGAGAGGAAGGGAGGGATAGAAACATCAATGTGAGGGGATCGAGCCCGTATCAAGTCAGCAACCCAGGCATGTGAATCGAACTGGGACCTCTTCGTCCATAGGATGACGCTCAATCTACTAAGCCACACCGGTCAGGCTTTTTTTTTTAATGGGCTACATTCTTTTTTCTTTTTTTTTTACAGATGTTTCTCCTTTTTCCCCCACTGACACCCTCCTTCCCATCCCCAGCTTTGTTGTTTATGTCCATTGGTCAATTCATCCTTTTATTAGGTGTAGACAATTGATTTTTCCAAAATTATTTTCTTTAATCTCTAAGTAATCAAACATGACTCAGAAAGAAAATCTAGCTATCAACTCATCAGTTATTCTAAAAGAGTAATGATTTGATTTGAGAACACCAATTTCTTCATACTTCCTTTACAAAAACAAAAAAGAGGACAGGTTGGGGATTTAGCACTACTTCCATGAATTTCAGTTATGACTTTACCATTTCCCTTTCTGAAAAGGCATAGAGCCCTGGCCGGTTTGGCACAGAGGTTAGAGCCAGAGAGACCCGGGTTCGGTTCCTGCTAAGGGCGCGTACCTCGGTTACAGTTTGTCCTCGGTCCTGGTTGGTCCTGTGGGTGGCAGCCACTCGATGTGTCCCTTTCACATTGATGTTTCTCTCTCTCTCTCCCCCACGCTATCTGAACAAAAAATGGAAAAATGTCCTCGGGTGAGGATAAAAATAATAATAATAATAATAAAAAAATAAAAGGCATAGAAACCACTTCTATATTACAATTTGCCTATACAACAGAGTTAACAACTAGGTCTCTCATAATGATCTATTTTAAAAAGTACATATTATGTGTGAAAACTTTAACAGATAAAAAAATCACTGAAACCTCATTTCTAACAGTCTTTTAACTTGAATCTTTCAGTAAATAAACAGTAAGACTATGTATTCTTGTATTTTACAATTTTTTCTTATAGTTTTAAAAATAGAAAAGATCTAAGGATAGTCCTATAATTGCTTTCCCATAAAAAGCTACCACTTGGTAAACAACTATTAGCCAGATTTGTTCAATAAGAGCCATTTATCTCTCTCTCTCTTTTTTTTAATCCTCACCTGAGGACATTTTTGCATTTATCTTCAGATAGAGAGGGAGGAAGAGAGAGAGAGAAACATCGATGTGAGAGAGACACATCGACTAGCTGCCACCCACGCAACCCCAACCGGGGCGGGGACAAACTGCAACCAAAGTACGTGCCCTTAGTGGAAACCGAACCCGGGTTTCTCAGGTCTGTGGGCCGACACTCTAACCACTGAGCAAAAAACAGCCAGGGCTGAGAGCCATTTCTCTTGTACCTTATATCTAATTAACTGAGTCAGTATAACTACTCAACTGTTAAACAAAAACACACATAGCAACAATCTATATATGCTATATGTATGCTTGGTAAACTTGAATGTGTATTGAATCATTTAGCAATCTTGTTAAAATACAGATTCTGGAATACAGGTCTGGATGTTGCCAATGCTGCTGGCTCAATGACCATATTTTGAGTAGCAAGGTAGAAAAAACCACTATTACTTTGGAAACATACTCAAAATGACTAAGAAACAAAGATGGTAAAAAGCAACTTTTAGAAAGTGAAATATGAATAATGAGAAATACTGGACCCAGTAAATGCTCAACAGATGCTTGCTGAATTAATGAACAAAGCAAAGAATGCAACATATTATTAAATGTGTATGCTAAACCATTAACATCTTTTTTAGAAACTGTTTGGTGCTTAATAAAAAATTAATTGAAATTTTAAGAACAGAGCTGTGGCAATTCCAAATTGTTCGTGTAGCCATGGCACTTGCCCAGTCAGTATTCTTGTTATCTTCATTGACATAATCTCTTGCCACATTTAGGAAGGAATGACTTAGACATATGAATAAAGAATTAGAGAATAACATCTATCAGTGCAAAACCAATACAGTTTGCCACATAATTGGACATATGTAAAAAACAAGCTGAACACAAGAACAGATGACAACACAATATAAAGAACAGGCATTCTTTTGCAACTACTGAAACCAACTTCGGGTAATACAATAAATGCAAGAAAACAATCAGGTAATCAGACAATGCCGTATTTAGTAGAGATGCTACAATTCAGTTTATGCAAGGAAAAATAGATAAAAATAAATTATTAAGGATGGTTTTTATGCATATTCTTTTCAGCTATGCACATGGGTAGCAATGCCATTAGTAGGAGCTACAAAAACAAAGGTAGGGGTAGGGAGAGAAAATATAAAATGAAACCAATAAACCAGGCAAGCATTTTTAGTTAACTCTGAGGTTGATCAAAATTAAACAAAAAAGCTCTGGCTAGTGTGGCTCTGTT